ATTTGACAAAATACAATATCTTTTCATGATAAAAAACACTCAACAAATTGGCTATAGAAGGAACATACCTCAACACAATATGGGCCATATATGACAAACCCACAACCAACATCATACTCAATAATGAAAGGTTGGAAGCTTTTCCTCTAAGATCAGGAACAAGACAAGGGTACCTGCTCTCACCACTTCTATTCAACATAGTACTAGAAGTCCCAACCAGACCAATCAGGCAATAAAAAGAAATAGAAGGCAGCTAAATCGGAAAGGATGAAGTAAAATTGTCTTTGTTTGCAGATGATATGAACTTATATATAGAAAATCCTAAAGACTCCAACAAAAAACTATTAGAACTAAGCAACAAATTCAATAAAGTTGCAGCATACAAAATCAACATACAGAAAACAGTTGTGTTTCCATTCACTAACAACAAAACATCTGAAAATGAAATAAAGAAAACCATTCCATTCACAATGGCATCAAAAACAAAATACTTAGGAGTAAATTTAACCAAGGAGGTGAAAGAGCTATATACTGAAAACTCCAAGACTTTGATGAAAGATGTTTAAGTAGAAACAAAGAAATGGAAAGACATCCCATGTTCATAGATCAGAAGAATTAACATTGTTAAAATGTCCATACTACCCAAAGCAATCTACAGATTCAATGCAATCTCTATCAAAATTCCAATGGCACTTTTCACAGAAATATAGCAAACAATTGTAAAATTATATGGAACCACAAAGGACCCCAAGTAGCCAAAGTAATCCTGAGAAAGAAGAACAAAGCTGGAGGCATCATACTTCCTGATTTTGAACTATATTACAAAGCTATAATGGTTAAACCGGTATGGAAGTGGCATAAAAACAAACACATAGATCAAGAGAACAGAACAGAGAACCCAGGAATAAACCCATGCATATATGGTCAATTTATGACAAAGGAGGCAAGAATATACAATAGCAAAAGGACAGTCTCTTTAACAAATGGTGTTGGGAAAACTGGATAACTACATGCAGAAGAATGAAATTGGACCCCTATTTTACACCACTCACAAAAATTAACTTGAAATGGATTAAAGACTTCAACATAAGACCTGAAACAATAAAACTCCCAGAAGAAAATGTAGGTAGCAAGCTTATGACATCAGTCTCGGCGATGACTTTTTGGATATGACGCCAAAAGCACAAGCAACAAAAGCAAACTAAACAAGTGGAACTACATCAAACTAAAAAGCTTCTGCCTCACAAAGGAAACCATCAACAAAATGAAAATGCAACCTATGGAATGGGAGAAAATATTTTCAAATCGTATATCTGATTTAGGGTTAACATCCAAAATATATAAAGAACTCATACAACTCAATAGCAAAAAACAAATAATCTGATTTAAAAATGGACAGAGGATCTGAATAGACATTTTTCCAATGTCTACAGATGGCCAACACGTACATGAAAAAGGTGCTCTACATCACTAATCATCAGGGAAATACAAGTAAACACCACAATGAGCTCTCACCTCCACCTGTTAGAAAGACTATCATCAAAAAGACAAGAGCTAACAGGTGTTGGCAAGGATGTGGAGAAAAGGGATCCCTTGACCACTATTGACGGGAATGTAAATCGGTTCAACCACTATGGAAAATAGTATAGAGATTCCTCAAGAAATTAAAAATAGAACTACCATATGAGCCAACCATCTCACTTCTGGGTTTATAGCTAAGAAAATGAAAACAGGATATCAAAGAGATATCTGCGCTCTCATGTCCATTGCATCATTATTCACAATAGCCAAGATATGGAAACAACCTAAGTGTCTGTCAGTGGACAAATGGAGAAAGAAGATGTGGTGTATATATATGCAAGGGAATATTATTCAGCCATAAAAAAGAAGGAAATCTTGACATTTCCAACAGCAAAGACGAATACCATATCATATCACTTATACGTGGAATCTAAAACAGTCTAACTCATAGAAACAGAGTGCAGTGATGGTTAACAGGGTCTGAGAGTGGGGGAAATGGGAAGATGTTGATCAAAGGCTACAAACTTACAGTTATAAAATGAATTAGTTCTGGGAATCTAATGTACAGTATGGTGATATAGTTAATAATACTGTATTATATATTTGAAAGTTACTAAGACAGTAGATCTTAAATGTTCTCACTAAAAAACGTAATTATGTGATGTGACGGAGGTGTTAGCTAACGCTATGGTGGGAATCATTTTGCAATATATAAGTGTATAAATGGACACATTGTATACCTTAAATTTACACCATGTTATACGCCAATTATACCTCAATAAAGCTAAGAAAAAAATAGACACAGGGATTCAGTAGAGGAAAATAAGTGTTTGCATTTCCCATTTCCCATGGTATTAATAGGTCCTTCATGAGAGTGTGAGGTCCAAAGTTCTGTCTATGCTTATTCAGTCTCAAGACAAATGAGCCTGTGGCCACATCCCTCCTCTAACATAAGTCACTCCCCATTCTACCAAGATTCATGCCATCTGCAATGTCCCTTCTTTGAACTGACCTCAGGGTCTGGGGCTTCTGGTCACTAAATTTAAAATTCAAATGAATATGTGTAGCCTAACCAAAAATGAGCAGTAGGGAGAAATCTGATGTGGTGGTATTGAAGTCCCCCACCCCCAAATGTAGCACATAGTTTTACTTTCTATATTTTAAAGGAGTTGATATTTCACGCTGTTACAGAAAGTACATAGAACCTTGAATTATATTTTTAAATCCATATAGCTGATTGAATGTACTACCATGTTTCACACTCTCTCCCTCGTGTCAGCCACACTCTCTGTCCCCCCAATGTCCTCCCTAATTAGGAGACATGTGACACAGCAGGAGCACATACCCCCTTTACCACTCAGTGCTTCAGCCACAATCTTATCAACAAAATAGAAACCATCCCTGGTGTTTCATGGCGGCTTTATCTGGTTTTAAATTGATTAAAGGTGTTTGTTTTTGCTTTTAATAAAAGGGAACAGAATAAATGAGTAACAGCCAGTAGCCACACTAAATTGCTACCAGCTGTTCTGCAGTTAGACCTAAGAGGTAAGCCTTCTTTTTACAATCAGGCAGCTTTCTTTTTTTCTTTCTTTTCTTTTTTTTTTTTTTAAAGATTGGCACCTGAGCTAACAACTGTTGCCAATCTTTTTTTTTTTCCTGCTTTATCTCCCCAAATCCCTCCGTACATAGTTGTATATCTTAGTTGTGGGTCCTTCTAGTTGTGGCACAGGCAGCTTTCTTATAATAGAGTAGCTGTATGTTTTAGAAGAGAGCCAAAGCTTTACTCACTTTTCCAGATAGTTTTAAAGATACTACAAATATTGATGACTGTTGGAAATTTCTGGAATTTTTAAAAATCTAGTTTTGAGATAAAAGCACTTGTTTATAATTGCAAGGGTTTTGGACCCCTTCCCTGCTCCCCACTTTCCCCCAAAAAGAAAATATGACTAGTAGAAATCTGGTAATGAGGGCATCCTTTGATTCTCTTAATATTCTTGAGACAACCAAGCACCCTTCAATTAGCTTCATTTTTCTTTGCTTACTTGTCTTTGAAATAGAAGCCTGTCTAAGCTTATTATCTCCTCCCAAGTACTATGGCTGGATTCTTTTAGACATTGGCTCATCTCCACGCTATTGAATCCTCCTTTTACATCTTAAATTGAGGGTTTTTTCATATACATGACTTTGGCCTCCTCATGTTTCAACAGGATTCCCTGCTCAGCTTCAATTAGAATCTGCCTTCACCCCTCCAAATTATATACCATTTTCTCTGGAAGAATTTCCTGACGTCTCCTTCCATCTGTTCTATCTGCACAGTGGCAGAATTGTCATGAGGTTTGGGTCCTGTAGGTGCCTCGTGTAGATTGGTTTCTGTGCCTCATCTTCAGGCTCATTGAATAAAAAGTCCATAAAGACAAAAAAGTCACACACTCAAGGTTACCAAGACCTCATACTCACCAACCCCCCAAATGTAAAAGGGAATGATTAGAAATAAAACTCTGAGTTTATGATGTTTTTCAAGAAGACTGACTTCTCTGAGGAATTTATTTTAGAACTCTTAAAAATACCAAAAGAATAACACCCAGATGGACATAAAACCTTCAAAAGGAGTTAGACCTTGATACTAGCAGAAATTCTAATAAGGAAATTCGTTTTAGACAAAGCATATGTTCTACTTCTTACTTTTATAATGGGGTTGGGGAGGACAGGAGGAAGTAAACCACAAAGTGCTTGGTAAAGAGTGTGAAGTTTTAGACTTCCTATACAAAAAGAGATGGAATCATTCAGAAACGCTGGTCCCATTACATGCTCCTAAGAGCCCTCATGCCTAGGCAGAGTGTGAGTTGGAGCTATTCAGGCCAGGAGCCCCATAACTCACCTGAGGAGAGGGGCAGTCCCCTCAGTGCCCTGAGCTTTCACCTCTATTGGTATAATTTATGGTACCTAGTGCAAAATGAAAATGCAGGGTCCTTGTTTCAAGATGGTGACAGAAGAGCATTAAACTAGGCACAGGGCTCTTCTGAGCACAGTTCCCTGTGTGGCTACACAGGTCACACATCCATGAAGCCAGTGGATCTGTGGGAATAACAGCCCTCTAACCTCTCCTCCACCCCTCCTCTCCCACCTTTTCCAGCTTAACCTCCACACCTTGCTTTCTTGATGCAAAGTCCCTGGGTGGCTTACAGAGGGAAATTCGGAGCTTTGACACAGTTTGGGCTGATGATGATGTCACGGTTGCCTCAACTTGAAAAGAAGAATTCAGTTGCTGGGGATACTCAGTATTATCTTAATCTCTTTCTCCAAATCTGCCTGTTAATGCAGTACCTGGCCTCCTAGCAGAAGCAGAGAACTTTCCAGAAACTTAGAGATTAGAGGTATCAAAACTATCTCTTGCAAATCATGAGATAAAAATAGACTAACATTTCTTTCTTTTCCCCTTTAATTTGATTTCCTGTGGGAACTTCCTTTCCTGTTAATAGAATGGAGGTAAGATATTGTTACTATACCAATGTTTTGTTCTGTTTAACATGCCATTTATTGAATGTCTACTATTTACTGAGCACTATAATATTCCAGAAACTTTTTCATTTCTAATCCTTTTAATACTCTTACGCAATGATGATGAAGATGAAGATAGGTAACATCTTTGAATACTTACTATGTATCAGGCACTGCTTTACTTGCATTATTTAAATTAACCTCAGGACAACCCTATGAAATAGGTACTGTTATTATCCTTATTGTACAGAAAAGAAACTAAGAGAGTTTCTTTGAACTGGAGAGTTCAAGTTACTTATACTAGCTAGTAAATTACACAAGCTAGTAAATGATAGGCATGGAAAATGAAGCAAGTACTGACTCCCAAATTCTCCATCATAACTTTATCCTGTAGATAAGGAAGTGTCACCTTGTAATACAACATTCTGCAACTTACAGTGTTCTATTTGCATAATGTCGACTTTCATAAAATCCCTGTGAAGTACAATCACTATTTTTATCTAATTTTACAAATGATGAAACTGAGATTCAGAATGATTAATAAATAATAATAATAATGATAATAGCAGCTAAATTTGGTGGTACATTTATGATTACCGCTTTTCTCACATTAACATTTCAGCAACTTTATGGGGCAAGAACTATCATCCCTGTTTCTTTATCTAAGGAGTCTGATGCACCAAGATTTGCCCAGACCACATAGCTAGCAAACTGTGAAGCCTCAATCTCAGCTCAGGCAGACAGACTTAAGAACACAGATTCATAAGTACCCCACTAACCCAGGTAGCACAGTAACTCAGCAGGACCTGGAACCCCAGCCATTGATTCTAATTCCGTGGAATGAAGTAATTCATTGCATAAAAATATCTGGTTTGTTCTCAATTTTGTCCCAATTCATATAGCTTTGATACATTCATTCACCTGATAAATAGGTGTTGAGACTATCACAGTTCTAAAGACAGAGACCTGACTCGTAAGGACTTCAGGGTAAAACCAAACGTCTACTGAAGGGTTATACAACATAACGTGGTCAAAGGAAAATCCCATGCAGGCCACCAACAGAAGAGATGTCATCTTCATTCACACCGGTCAGCACACCTGTCCTCCCCATGCATTTTTAAGCCACTCAGTCTGTTCCTGGCATATATTAGAAAGCATAGCAACAACACAAATCGTACATATGCCTTGTCCTCAAGGAATTTACATCTTACTAGGGGATACACACATGCCCATAAAGATTAATTACAAGGCAATATAATAATGGACGCATGTACAAATCTCAAGTGCTCAAGGACAGAAATAGATCATTCACATGCAAGTAATGCAAATGAAAATTTTAAAACTCATTAGTAGTCAAATAAATATTAACTGAAGAAGAATTATGAAGACAAATTATATACCATTTTTCAGCTGTGATAACACAAGCACTCTCTAAACTCTACTGGTAGAGAGAAAACTCTTATAACCTTTCTAGACAGCATTTGGCAATTTTTGTTAAGAACCTTAAAATGTTTGTACCTATTGGTTGAATAAATCTACTTTTAATGAACTATTCTAATGAGATAATAAGAGAATTAAAAACAACTTTATGTTTATCAGTGAAACATATGAGCAATGTCAATATCTACCAATAAGGGAAACTGATGTGATTAAAAACCATGTTTTTGAAAAGTAATTAATGGCATTGGCAAATGTTTATAATATCACACTAAGTAAAAATACCGGATGCAAAAATGTATGTACAGGATAATTCTAATTATACTTATATGGTATATATACTATGTACATATTACATAGTATACTGTATATATTATAATTAGGTACATACTGATTATAACTGATATATGTGCAAGTACATAAAGTGTTTATTTGGCTACTATAATTAATTTTCAAGCTTTTTTAATTTAAAAATTTTTTTCTTTATACCACTCTTTATTTTACATAATAAATAGATATTAATTTTAGCCAGAGAAACAGAAGAGATATTTTTCAGAGGAGGCTGTGTCCTTCTTCTTGAGCACATTGGGTATGGCATTTCAGAAAAATGACATTTGACCTGTGTTTTAGAGCAAGGGTTGCCACACTTTTTCTTTAAAGGGTCAGATATTAAATATATTTCTCTTTGTGGGCCACACGGTCTCTGTTGCAACTGCTCACGTCTGCTGTTGCAGCGTGAAAGCAATCACAGACAATTCGGAAATGGATGAACATGGCTCTGTTCCAATAAAACTTTACTTATGGCCACTAAAATTTAAATTTCATATTTTTTCACTTCTTTTGATTTTTTTCAACCATTTAAAACTGTAAACACCATTCTCAGCTCACAGGCTCTATAAAAACAGGCAGCAGGCCAAATTTGAGCTGCCGAAATTTGACAACAGGCAAGGTTGTATTTGTGGACCCCACCTTAGAAAATGAATCATATACAGACATAGGCGTGAAAGAATACAGATAATTCCAGCTTACTTTGGAGACCGGAAGTGGCGTAGAACCCTCGTCATCACGTTTGCTGGGAAAGTAGGACTGGAGACCAGGCTGTTGCTAAATAAGGAAAGATTTGCCTACACCAGAGGAGAGGTAGAGCTATGAGATGGGCCCCTCCTGGGGAGAGCAGGAAAATAAGGTGTGGAGTTTCCACTGGAGTAGTAGGGTTGTGTTAACCCGAGCAAGCCACAGCTGGTCATCTGCACGTGTCCTTGGACAAAGTAGTATGTGTCCAAAGGGAGTAGAGGTCTCTCTCATAGAAACTGCAAGAACACATTTTAAAATGTTCTATTGAATGTGATTCATACATGTGAAAGCAGAGAGAACTAAGAGTAAAAGCTGTACTGAGAATCCTTTAAATATTCCATTTGACCAAGGAGAGGTGTCTGTTAGAAAAGAAGTTCAAAAGAGGATTTCAGATCAAATAGCCATTGTTGCTTCTAAAAAGAGAAACTGCAAAAAGGGAGGTCAGTCAGTTTTAGCTTGTCAGGAGGCGAGAGAGGGCCTGGCTCCATGTGCAATATTAACTAGCATTTTTGGAGATAGTCCGGCGGATCGTTCCAAAATAACCAGCATTCTGTGAACGGATCCTCGTGACCTCTTCCCCACTGTTCCCATGAGCAACAGGACCAGCTGCTTCTGGTGTTGCTCCACCGGCAGCCCCAAGAACTGCATGCAGAGAAACACAGCTCCTCTTGGATAGAGAGGGGTCTCATTACTTGCAGAAGACAGCAGAAGACACCAATAGAAATTCTTTGCCTTCATCTTGTTTGCCTGTTTTTGTTGTAAACTCCTTTAAAAATTTTTTCAAGTGAGGGACAAAATGGCCCAATTTGCCTCCACATCTTGCCTCTAAAATTTGATTAACTGCCTAAAATTTGAGGTTTATTAGGTCTACAAAAGAGGAGAGAAAAAGGAAAAGGAAGTTGTTTAAACTCTGAAACTGTGACTAGGCAGTCCCTCTCTCTCTCTATGTATATATAAATAATATATGTATATATTTGGTCCTGTATATCCCTTACTTTGTGGAGCCATCCTAGCATAGATATACTACCCAAACTAAGTTTTTAATTCTCCCAGGAACACATCAGAGATGTAGAAAATTAACAAGAACCCTATACTTCGTATTTGTATGGTTTTGCTCAACATGCAAAGGGTTTTCATAGGCTAGTTATCTTTAAGCTGGTAGAAAGAAAAACCAAAATTACAACTAAACTCTAATTTCAATTCAAAATCTATTCTGCTTTTATACTTTTGTTTTTTATTTTTTTCTTTTGCATCATGTCCCTAACACTCAAAAATAAATGAGGACTCAATACTGTTAAGTCAGCTGAGGTTGTCCCAAGAGGTTGTCCCAGAGATTTTTCTAGGGCTTTTATTAAGAGAATCAGCATAAATCCAGAGAGAGAGATTATTAACTAATTGTTAATAATCCTTATCTCTGAAGCTTGCATTAATTTTTCTTTTGTGTACTATTTCTTAGTTTATAATGTTTTCTCAAAAACTGTTTTTAGCCTGTGTAATTAAAAAATACTCACAGGAAAATAAAGAACAGAGTCATTCAGTAGTTAACACATGACAGCAGAACCTGGATGAGCGATTCTCAGCTCAGAGACGGTGGGGGAAGTATTTAACTCTGACATGATACAGTTTTTTGTATTAAGTGAACGGAATTATACTTGCTCTTACTCATCTTCCCTTTTTACCAAGATATTAATATGTGAGACCATTTTGTAAACCAGTTTGAGCTATTTCTAGCTATTAGGTATTATTATTGTTTCTTAAAGCCCAGAATCCTTTCTTTTCTTGAACTTTCTTAGTGCTATCATCGACCAGGTTCCCTAAGAGCTGGGGTCATGTGATATTTCTCTGGGTATTTTCTCAACCTTACCTGGCCCAAGTTTTCATGGAGGTTTTTGTGTGTGTGTGTTTTCTTATTCAAGGCCTTCATTTTAAAAATCCTCAACAAACTACAAGTAATGCAATAAAACTCACGTTGGCTAATTAGTAAAAGGCTAGTATGAATTACAGGAGGATTCTATATTACAGAACATTATTTTAAAATATAGTATTTCTCGAAAGTTCATTGTTTTACCTGAATGAGTTGTATCACATTTAATAGATTTGCTTTAAAGACTAGTCAATGATGGTTTCTACTTAAAGAATCAATTTTTCAAATTCAAATGGGGTCCCTTAATTTAAAAATTTCCCACAAATTCCAATTGGTTTAGTTTTCTTACCTTAAGATCCTTTATATGAAGACAATAAATGCTAAATTCCAACGGTTGTACAAATCTAAATGAGAATATAAGTTAAGAGGTTTGTGTCATTGTTACAATATAAATGTGACGGAAGGCATAAGAGTACGTTGAGACCATTACAGTGCCTACACATGATAAGTGTTCAATAACTATTTGTCAGGTGAGTATAGGAGTTATTATTATAATTCCCGGCATTCCATTAAGGGGGCAGTGGATATGTGAAGAGAGTACTAGCAGCATTTTCCATTCTCCTTATTGTCCTCTTCAGCTGTTATAGCAGATAAGCTTTTAATCTTATTTTTGTGCTAGCACTATAGGATTTAGTTTTTTGCATGTATTAACATGCCCATTAATATTATTACCCAATAATATTACCCATTAACACACAATAATCTGAGTCCAGAATAATTACTTACATCACTCTACAGATTAGGACACTGGGGCTCTGAGGGACCAGACGACTTTCCCCAAGATGTGATAAGAAAACAGAAAAGCTAAAGATGTTGCTTAGCTCCTCTGAGATCCATATCCTGTGCTTTCTCCCCGATACGTGGCTTTCTTTTTATTCTTTAATGGAATGCTGGGAAGATGCGTGAGTGAGAGATCTGAGTGTGGAAGGTGTTGCAAAGATGGATATGTTCCACAAAATTCAGATATTTAACTATCATAAGCTGCAAGCTTCTTGGATCAGAGCAATTATTATGCTTAATCATTTGTTAATCATCATGATGAATACGTTTTTTAGATGTATTTATTTGCTTAAATCAGCTTATTTGTAAGAAGCGTATGAGGCAGCTTAACTAAGAGTAGTCAAATTCTATTTTTAATGTAAATAATAAAAATACTTAAATCTATTCAATCCTTGATAGTTCCCAAAGCTTTCCACATCCATTATCACATTTGGTTTTCCTAAGAGCCCTCTGGAGTAACTGGAGGTGATATGATTATAGCTGGAAATGAAGACAATATTCAGATGAACATTTCCACCAATTTGCTAATACAATCTTCTCCTATTTCTGTGATGCAGATGTGGAAACCAACAACAAAAAAAAAAATAGCGGACTGAATGCTAAGAAATAGCGTGTGATGGGAACTTGTTCACTGCCTCTTTCAGTAAACCACAGAAAGATAACAAAGGCTACTGCGCCCAGTACAGAGGGGAGGTGTGTAATGCTGTCCTGGCAAAAGATGCTCTTGTTTTCTTCAACAACTCCTACGCAGACCCTGAGGAGGCTCAAGAGCTACTGGTCCACAGCGCCTGGAATGAACTGAACACAGTGAGCCCGTTCTGCCGGCCAGCTGCTGAGGCTTTGCTGTGTAACCACATCTTCCAAGAATGCAACCCTGGAGTAGTACCTACTCCTATACCCATTTGCAGGTAAAATTTAAAAAAGTAACTAGATGGGAAAATTCCATTTGTCTGTCTGCAAACAGGAAGCATTTTCAAAAGAGGAAGTTGTCATGTGCAATAGTAAAGGCAAAGCTGGCTTTTGTCCAAAATAGAAAGTCATTAATTGGACAAAATTCCTACCATATAAATCACTGATGATACGTTATAAAATAAGGGCCCTGAGCTTCTAGAAAATGTCATAAAAGGTATAATATTTATTACCCTTGTTATGTTCACATAATCATATTCATAAATATCCCCACTTTCTATGAAATAAAAGATGAAATCCTAAACTAACATAGACCTCATTAGCGAGCCAAAATAAAGAAGATAAAGACTACATTTCAAGTGTTTCAGCATTATTTGCCAATAAATGAGATCTTGGTGAGTATTTCAGAATATTATTTTAAAATACATTCTAGCTAATAATCTAATTTAAGTCCTGATGCTCTTGTCTCACTTTTTGGGGGGGGTTGGGGGGGTAGGTTATAAACTGATATTTCTTTAAAAACCCCATACTCTTTAAATACTGAAATTCATAAATCCGTGTTCAATAGAATTATCTTTGCCTTTATTTACTTCTTATGTAGAAAAGACAAAGTTCCAATCCTGTTTGTGTTCTTGGCTAAACTTCAGTTTTCTCATCAGTAAAATAAGAGTTGAGAGGATTAAAGGATAAATTGCTCCCATGGCATATATTAGAAACTAGATAGACATTGTTTTCTTTTGAAGAAAACACATGAAAACTACCAACACAGCACATTTCCACCTCTGTTTTGATAAAACCAGGAACTATTTAAATATTGAAATAACTGTAGGGCATTCTATTTAGCATAAAAGGACTACGGTGAGAGCATTAAAATAGAATGCTCTATTCCTCAACTTACTGCAGATTCTGAGGGTTTGGAGACATTCTAAGAGTAATATAATTTGTTGTTGCTTCCCCTAAGAAGATTATATTTTCATCAGACATGACAACTAAGTATCTCTCAAGGAAAAGCCAGAATGAAAATCAAATTGTATCTTGTATGCTAGTACAAATAAATTTATGGAGTAACTTGCCAACATTTATGTCTTAAGTTTACCTGAATGGGCCTTAAATGATCTTTTTAAGATTGAAAATAATTTAGCTTTTTTGTTTCTTTAGGAAAAAACCCTTTCATTGAGATTTCAAATTTATTAGAATAGCATAGTTAATTATCTCCTAAATCTGTAAGTCGTTTGTAGTGTACTTTAAATTTTTTTTCTTAATTTCAATTGTTATTTAGATAAGCATTTTTTATTTGAAAATTGTTTCTATTTTGTGTGTGTGCGTGTGTGTGTGTGTGTGTATGTGTGTGAGGAAGATTGGCCCTGAGCTAACATCTGTTGCCAGTCTTCCTCTTTTTGCTTGAGGAAGATTGACCCTGAGCTAATGTCTGTGCCCATCTTCCTCTATTTTGTATGTAGTACACCACAACAGCATGGCTTGACAAGCAGTGTGTAGGTCCACACCCGGGATCCAAACCCGTGAACTGTGTGCTGCTGAAGTGGAACATGCCAACTTAACCACTATGCCACCAGGCTGGTCCCGTTTCTTTTTTTTTTAAAGATTGGCCCTGAGCTAACATCTGTTGCCAATCCTCCTCTTTTTATTTTTTTCTCCCCAAAGCCCCAGTACATCGTTGTATATCCTAGTTGTAGATCACTTTAGTTCTTCTATGTGGGATGCCTCCACAGCATGGCTTGATGAGCAGTGCACAGGTCTGTGCCCAGGATCCGAACGGGTGAACCCCAGGCTGCCAAAGCAGAAGACGTGAACATAACCACTTGGCCACATGACCAGCCCCTTTTTTTAAATTCTTTTTTTTTTCTGAGGAAGATCAGCCCTGAGCTAACTACTGCCAATCCTCCTCTTTTTGCTGAGGAAGACTGGCCCTGAGCTAACACCCATGCCCATCTTCCTCTACTCCATACCTGGGATGCCTACCACAGCATGGTTTTTGCCAAGCGGTGCCATGTCCGCACCCAGGATCTGAACCGGTGAACCCCGGGCCGCTGAGAAGTGGGACATGCAAACTTAACCGCTGCACCACCGGGCCGGCCCCTTAAATTCTTATAGTTAAACATTTTATTCACTTTGGGGTCAGAAAATATAGTCTAGAAGTTTTCACATTTTTGCATTTTATTGAGATCTTTTCTATCATATATAATTAATAATTATTAAAAGAATTAGACATTTAAGAAAAGACATTTCTGCTTTTAAGTTACAAAATTCATGTATTATGTATATATTAGTATAATTGGTAATTAAATTGTCCAGTCCTTTCTGCTCTTAAGTGAGTTTTGTCTATTTGATTCAATAGTTCAATAGTGATGCAGTAAATCTTTTCATGATTGTTTTTTCTAAGAATGTTTCCTTGCAATTCTGGCAACTTCTGCTTTTTGCACCAATAACATTTGAAATAAAAGTTAATAACTACTAAGTTTGCTCTTCAGATGTTCTTACTTAATGCTTCCTTGCTTTCTTATCATGTCTTTCATAATGGTTTTTGTTTGCCTTTAGCTTTCGAAGTGGTTCAAACCATTTCATTCCACCATTTTGTATTCTACTTCCAGTTATTCATAAGATTTTTAAATGCATACTCTTGCTCATCATTTTCTAACCATAAACAGCCATTCAATAATTCATGCCTCTTTCCATGAATAACAAGGAATTCCATTTATTCCACAAATATTTATTGAGCTCTTACTGGGCTCCAAGCACTGTTCTAGGTCATTTGTCCATGGGGTTTACATTCCAGCAGGAGAAGTCAATGAGCAAGAGAAATAAATAACTTCTATACTACCCAAGAAGGTGTTAAGTGTCATAGAAGAAGAAAAAATGAGCACCAATCTAGGGGAGATGAGGAGTGCCAAGGGTAAGGGAGAAAATTGTAATTTAAAAATAGAGTCTTGAGGGTCGGCCTAATTAACTTAGCATAATTTTACTGGGTCCTCCACACTTGCTCTCTGAAACGTTATCTGGAATTATAAGCAGGTTAGTATTATTCAATTATGTTTTATTTGCATACGCTTAATTTTTGGACCATTATTTTCAGCTTCTCCATTTGATTGCATAATCACATACACAGGTGCCTGAAGGAGCTCTTCACGTCCCTTATCCCTGATGCTCACAGTGATTCACTTCATAGAAAATCTTCCCTTCTCTTAAATTCTCAATTTTGACTTATCTCTCATTCAGCTAGAGTAGGTGTTTTTTAGAAGATTACATGTAGAAAAAAATTTTTTTTCTGTAATCTTATAAATACGTGTTTTTCACTGGATATTTAAGTCTTGTGTTACCTTTAATTTTCCTCAAAGTTCTGTGCACTCTGACCTATTGTTTTTTGGGTGTTGTAATGAAGAACATATAAGGCCATCCTGAATTTTATTCCTTTGTAGGGAATAATTTTCTCTTGCCAGAGAGTAAAAAGATTATTTCTTTAACCCTTGAGATGCAAAATATTTGTAAAATTCATCTGGGCGTAGATCTCTTTTCATTATGTTCTTTCCTATAAGTAATATAAAAAATAACAGATAATATGCTTTGATTATCAGTTTTATGTCCATTTTATCTAAAGAATGTTTTCATATAGTTCATCATTGACTATTTTCTATTTTTTATGTGCTCTGGTTTTCTTGTTGGGAAACATTATTATTTACACTTAGGATTTCTCACTTGTTTCTGCCTCTTTGCTGTCTGCTCACACATCATTTTCATCTTTTGGTTCTTTCTTTCTGCATTCAATTAAGACTTCCAAAGTTTTCCTCTATTATTTGTTCAATTTCCTGAGGTGCCATTTCTTGACTGTTTTCCATGAAGATTTTAAATCTCTTGGTATTCATTTCACTTCTTTACAGTCTTTATTTTCTTCAATGACTACCTTGTTCAGGTTAACCTAGTTTTCAGTCTATTTTCCATTTTATCCTGATTTTTTCCCTTGTGAAAAACTCTTCCATACAGGGCATGCTTTAAAGCACGTCAATGAAAACAAAGCAAAACAAAAACACATTCTCTAATGTGTTCTTCCATTTAGAACAAGAAATCCTCCCAGGTATTTGCTTCCTCCACATAACGTGGGCTACAGAGTTTTTTCATATGTCCCACATTGCTTTTTGTGCTGAGTGCAGAAAGATGTGCCTGTGCAACTCAAAGGTGGGACCCAGGCATGAAAAAAACAAATTAAGGTATGCTCCACTAATTCTTCAGCTTCTCAGAAGCCTTGAAAGCCCCATTGCTCCCCTTTCCCTTGCAGACATATCAAGAATTCTAAATCCTGTTATTGTACCCCTGACTCCCATTGTATCCCATCACATTCGTATGCACAGCTCTTTCTTCTACCCATGCCTATTTGGCCCATATTGGCAAGTGGTTGCCTAGGAAAGCAGGAGTGTAGGCATGAGTATTGAAAAAAGACACCATTGTGGCATATATATGTATACATATATATACACACACACGTATGTAGGTATACACACACACACTTTCCTCCTCTCTGAATCCTTCAGATATTGAATGATTGACATTGCTATTATCTTCAATTTCTTTGATAATCTTTCATTTCTTTATCTTTAATTTCATCTTTTTATTAATCACAAATATCTTAATTTGGAATTAATCAGGTTTCTCCAATATAGTCTATCCTATTTTCTATAGGATAAGCTGGAACAAATATTAATCTACAAAATTCTAATTAATCCAACTAGTCTTTATTCAGCATCTTCACTCATCATACAGCACATGGATGAATGTAACAGCTTCGTATTCAAGCAGATATTACTCTGGCTTTCTCAGATGTGCACACACTTAGCAATGGGACAGGACTCGGCGTTCTCAAGACTAGAGCCGGGTAAGGACCCATATACCCTCCTATAACCTGCCAGGAAGGTGGTACTGTTCTGTTTCAGAGAACAAAGCAGGCAGAGGCGCTGACTGTGTTCCTCAGGTCCTGCCCTTTAGACCTGAG